CTGGGGGACCCCCAGGCCCACTGGCTGTCCCCAGGGGACCTGGAGTTTGAGGTGCTCTACAGACGGCTCCACGACTCATGGGAGGTAGGAACCACAGCCAGCCCCACCCAACCCAGAGGGACGCGCCCAGTGGCCCCCCGGCCAACACCCCTTCTTCTGGCAGGACGCCACCACCATCTACTCCAACTCCTCCCAGGCAGTCCTAGGACCGGAGCACCTCATGCCCCACAGCACCTACGTGGCCCGAGTGCGGACCCGGCTGGCCCCGGGCTCAGAGTTCTCAGGGAAGCCCAGCAAGTGGAGCCCAGAGCTGAGCTGGGACTCCCAGCCAGGTAATGTAGTCAGAGTCTAGAGGCCCCCAGAGGAGGGCCTGTCAGGAGCTCCCCGGGCAGTGGAATCCAGAGCTCGCTCTGCTGGGTTCTAGAACCCACGGCTCCATGTTCTCCAACAGCCTCCCTGGGCGACCCTACCCACTGGGATCGCTGCACCGCGAATCTGGGTCTTGTTTTCTGCATACTCGTGCAAGTAGCCAGCTCAGCGATAGTACAACGCTCCTGGCAACTGGGCGTCCATGGTGCAGGGCCGGCTGTGCTCAGGCCTGGGCACTGCCACCTCAGTGTCCTCATTCCTCAGGGGAGGCTGTGCAGGTTCGCAGCGCTCGCTGAGCCCTGCACCCATCTGGCAGGGGCAGGCTGAGGTTCACACCCTGGTCCTTCTGACCCGAAAGCCCAGTCTCTGTGACGTGTCACACGGTGGGTGCCCATCGTGGAATGGATGACAGAGGGAGTGAATGAGGGACTGTCTGCACCCAGGGGACGCCGCCCAGCCCCAGAACCTGCAGTGCTTCTTCAACGGGGTCGACGCACTCAGCTGCTCCTGGGAGGTGAGGTCGGAGGTGACCAGCTCAGTCTCCTTCGGCCTCTCCTACACGTCCAGTGCCAATGCAGGGTGAGCGCCTCCTCTCTCCGTCCCCTCCGTCCTCTTGGTCGTGCTCTCCCCAAGCCCTCTGCTGTTCCTGGGGTCCCCAGAAAAAGCCACAGCTCCTTCCAAGCTCTCCTCTTTGCCGAGGTCCCTGTCTCCTCCTTTCCCTCAGCTCAGCTGTGCTCCTCAGGGAGGAAGAATGCTCCCCAGTGTGGAAGGAGGAAGTCAGCAGCCGCTACACCCGGTACCGATGCCAGATCCCAGTGCCTGACCCCGAGACCCACGGCCAGTACTCCGTCTCTGTTCAGCCACGGAGGGAAGAGAAGATGATAAGGAGCTGGATGAACAGTGAGTTCGCGCCCAGCCTCCTGTGCGTGTGGCTGTGGAACAGCACGGTTTCATTGAGTACCTCTCATCAACTCCGGGTCCTCGGGTTTATCCATTTGAAAGAAATGTGGTCCGTGAACATTGGAGAGTACAAGTACCCTGACTGCTTCTTAAAATTTTATATACAATGCAACAGCCGAAAGTGCAAGGGTACAGTGGGTAATCCCCAGAGACAGGTCCCCACAGCCTCTGGTTCCTCACTGCTTCTGTTCTGCTTTCTTCCCCAAACGTGTGGAGAGGAGCTTCTGCAAAGCTCCTGCAGCCCGCACCCTCCTGGTCCTCCCGCTGACTTTCCCCTCATTCCCTAATTGTGCTTTTCTCTTTCTGCCTTTCAAAATTCCCCCAATGAATATTCTATCTTCAGACTAGTTGACCTCTATTTTTTTCTCATCTGGGGACTTGTGTGTATGCAAATAGATGGTAGATCCGTGCAGGCTAGCGCCCCATTCCTGGTAGAGCCTCCTGAGTTGTTTCCTGTTGACCGAGTCCTCCCGCTCACCAGTGCATGCCAAAGGCAGCTGCTCCTCTGTCTTAGTCACCTGGGTTTGAACTGACCTCACTAGGATAGGGGTTTCCTAGAGGATGAATCAGAAAATATGTAAATGACCTGGTGTGATGAGAGACCTCAATAAATGACAGGCATTACTGGGACCAGCAGGTGGCATAGTAGCTAAGGCATTAGACTTCCACATGGCTGACCATAGTTCGGGTCCTAGACCTGGAGGCTTGAACATCATGCTGGGCACACGTGCATGTGTGACCAAAATCCCAGGAGGAGAAGAGATTGTGGCATGGCCATCCCCTCTTGGGGGTGATTTCTCACTTTCCCTCTCCCTGTTTCTCTCTGGCAGGCACACACACCCTATGGCAAAAACCTTAAAACCCCAAGTTTTGGGTTGTTGGAAAAGTCAGGACACATTTTTTTTATAGAAAACACAGACAAAAATGCCATGACTTGGGACCAGCAATTAAGGTAATGACTATGTCGCTGAACTCCCATGTAGTCAACCACGGTTTGAATCCCGGACCCAGTAGCTTAAAACTCATGCCGGCCGCATGTGTGTGCGTGCCCAAGATCCTGAGAGGAGAACGGAGGAGAAGGGATTGCTGCGTGGCCATCCCCCCAGGGGGTGATTTCTCGCTTTCTTTCTCTCTCTCTCTGTCTGTCTGGCAAGTGCACATGCCCTATAGCAAAAACCTCTCAAAAAAAAAAAAAAAAACCCCAAAAGCACACACTCCAGTGA